TTGAGCAAATTTAGTTAAAAATTTTCCACTGGATTAAAGCAAGATGTAAAGGAGGTTTGTTTAGCTTCTCGGACCGGATAAAAATCTTGTAAATTACTTAATTGTTAGTAATAGGTATTTTTGATTTGGTATTTAATATAATTTCAATTACATAATATTTTTAAATATTATTTTAAATTAATTTTAAAGTAAATAAATAAAGTTCATTAAAAAAATAAAGAAAGAAAGAAAGAAAATCGAACGGACATGACAATGCGACGTCCCTCAGGGTCTCCAACCGGCTTAATTAAGAGATACTTTTCACGAAGAAAAGTAAAGCCAAATGGACAAGTGGCGTACACAAAGATTAACCTCAAGAATACCTTTGAATGGTTTTTCAACAATGACAGAACTAAAGATTGAAAAAGGGATCGGAGAGTTGTGCTAACCCATTCATCATCCTCGATCCTTGTAAGTGAAGAACCGTGAATTATTGATATAATGGGAGCCACGGATGCATAGGTCCCTCCAATCACGGTGAGCAATCGAGTCCCAAACCGCGTCCGTAAAAGTGTTTTTGTCCCACAAGATTAAATTTATTAAAAGGGATGTCACATCAATAATACGAGTACAAGTATTTGTGGCTTGCGTAATGATGCTGTCGACTGTCGAGGATGCCTCTCGTTTACTTTTACGTTGGGGGGTGCTTGTAAAGTAAGCAGAAAATGTTTACGATAGTGGGGTCAAGTTGGGTGATGGCGGAAGGGTGCTAGGATTCGTTTGAGTAATGGCAGCACAAGGAAAGAAGTTTCTTTGTGCGGAGATGTAGTAGCTAACTTCTTTTTTTTTTTAATAATTTATAATTATTTACCAAGTTAATCGATGAAAAAAAAAGGAGATTTCGTGAAGTTTAAATGTACAATTCACTGAAAATAAATAATCTTAATAGAAAGTCTAATGTCACTAAGTCGGAACGGACCGTTCGATGTAGTAGTTAAATTAGTTTTCAGAGGTTAAAAATTGTTGCATAACAAATAAAAAGAAGTTTATCCTTTGTTATGCAGACAATCTAAAAGAAATTACATAGGAAATTATAAGGCACCTCCTTTCAAGGGGTTAGAGTTCAGGATTCTCAGATTAATATTTTCGCATTTGAGGAGAACCATGCATGGATGACAAGTGAAGTAACTTTAAACATCTGCAATCACACAGGAACCTCATCACCAAACTTGGAACATTTTGATTGTGGAAGACCAAAGGGATTGAAACTTCTTAATGAAAAACTAATATATAACATGAGGCCTAAATGCCAAAAGCAAATCATCTGGTTTTTCATGCAACCATAATTAACCACTTGGCTATTGAAAAATAAAAATTTTCATGTATTTAATTAAGTGTCTGATTAAAATAATTTATATGATATTAATGGTAAAATTAATATTAATTTTTATATTTTTTAATATTATTTAATATAATAATATAATAATTACACCAAAAACATATATTTTAAAAATACAAATTAGAAAAGCCTAAGACTGACTTATCCAAAAGGAAGAAAGAAAAAATCAAAGTGGAATTTGAGGTAGAAAAAAATTCAACAATAGAGGGTGAAAAAATGAAAGAGGAAAGAGAGACGAACAATCACCTTTTTTCTTTTGTTTTGCTACCACCAACAAACACCCTTTTTTCTAATAAGAACAATCACCTTTTTAGGGTGATGCTCCATTCTTAATTTAAATAATAAGCTTAAATTGTAACCCTAACACTCACAATAATGAACTTTAAAATATCTAAATCTTAAAATAATAAACATTAAATTTTATAAAATCTAAACCCTAATAAAAACTTAAAAATATACTACAACGTAAATGCTAACTTTAAAGAAAAAAAATCTAAACCTTAACTTATAAAATATAAATATTGAACCCTAAAATATAATATAAACCCTACTCATGTTAAATCCTAAATAATCTAAATGCTAACTTTATAAGATATTAAACTCTAAATATATAAATCCTAACACATTAAACACAGAATGTTAAAAAAATAAAAACTCTAATACCCTAATCATTAAATGCCAAAAAACCAAACCCTACACCATAAATATTGAACCTAAATAAAAAATAATTATAATTATTATTGCTCTAATGAATTTA